TCCCTCCCTCCCCCTCTCTGCCCTGGGCACCTTACCATCAGCTCCCTCACTCCCAAGCTCCTAGGGCCCTTCCTTTACCGCAACTCCTTTCCTGAGCCCATTTCTTCTAGGAATTACTTTTCTCCCTCTGTGACTCCAAACAAATGTTCTCTTACGGTTTGGGTCTTGGCTCTGAATTCTTTCCTAGCCGGAACCCAAGACCGAGGTGGCTGCACCCGGGTTTGGTCCCACCCCATTGGCGAGACAGACCCAGGACTCACAGGTCCTCAGACCAAGGCCATCCTGCGAGTTTCCCCCACCCTCCAGGGTCCAGGCCCCCGTGGCTGAGGGGGCTGCGAGGTGGAGGGTGTCCCCCAGGGCCCCTCTTTAGTGTTAGGGGGACCACTGTCAATGTAAGAAATGTCCAAACCTATAGAGAATTTTTATGAGTTTATTTGAGTCAAACTGATGACAATTGCCAGGAAGTAAAATCTCAATGGATTGAGAAAATGCTCCAGTAAATGGCAGTTTTTTGGCTTATTTTATACATTTAAAATGTAAACACAAGAAATGACCAAACCCTGTAAGAATTTTTGAGTTTATTTGAGCCAAACTGACGATTGCTGGGAAGCAAAATCTCAATCGATTGAGAAAAAAAATCTCAATGGATTGAGAAAATGGCGGTTTTGCACTTTATTTTAAATATATTTTTGTTGATTTCAGAGAGAAAGGGGGAGGTAGAGAGATAGAAACATCAATGATGAATCATTGATTGGCTGCCTCCTGCACGCCCCCTACCGGAGACCCAGCCCACAACCAGGGCATGTGCCCTTGACCAGAATGGAACCCGGGACCCTTCAGTCCGAGGGCAGACGCTCTATCCACTGAGCCAAACGAGCTAGGGCACACTTTATTTTATACATTACAACTAAAGGAGGAGGCAATGAAATGCATTGGTGATAGATTAGGGAGACGGGAGGAAGCAAAGTGGGGAAATCTCTGGAATGGATGAAGACACGATGAAGAGGCTAATCCTCCTTTACGTTGGTGGGTACAGGACAGTTAACAATGACCGTGCACAGCACATAGGGAGGGCGACAGATACCAGCCAGGGGTCTGTAGTCTCTCGCTCTCCCTCTCCGTGAGCTTGTGCCCTGAGGGGTCTGGAGAAAGGGATTACTCAGACCAAAGGTATGTTCTCTTAGGTGCAAAAAGAAAACAGACTCAGTTAAGGTAAAGATGAATCTTCCTCAAATATACTGGCCTAGGACAGGACACCATCACGACTCACGGTTAGGAAGTTCTCATTTCAGACCATCCTTGTAGTGACTTTGGCCCCCGAGTGTGTGAGGCCACCACGCAGGCCTCGCCTGAGCTTGTCAGGGTTAGTGTGTGGCCCCCTTTCCCCACAAGAATCCAATGAGAAGTGGTAGGGAAGGTGACGTGAAATCCATTGGTGGCAGATTAAGGGGGAGGGAGAAAGCAGAGACACAAACTTCCTTTGTTTTCTTTTTGGAACCCTCACCCAAGGATATGTTCTTACCGATTTTTTTATTTTTATTTCTTAGAAAGGAACGGAAAGAGAGAAACATCGATCAGTTGTTGAAACTCACAACCTAGTATGTGCCTTGATCTAGAACTGAACCCGAAACCTCCTGGTGTACAGGATGACGCTCCAACCAGCTGAGCTGCCCACCGGGGACCAAACTTCTTTAAGTGGATAGTTAATAATGAACGTGTACAGCACACAGAGCTGGTATTTGGGGAACCAGCTCACAGGGGGTTCTGGGGTCTCGTGCTGTGCTGTGGCTGTGCCCGAGGGGTCTCAGATGCACAGAGACAACAGACAGGACCACTTCCGGGAAGACTGACCTTCGTCAAGGCAGCTCCAGGCCTAGGCTGTGACTACCCACCATGACCCGCTTCCAGTGGGAATGTTTATATTCAGACCATCCCATGTGCGAGAGGGATAGAAACATCAATGATGGGAGAGAATTATTAGCGTCAGAGGAAGGCCAGCATTGTTTCCTGTCCCGTATCACAGCCTCCACACCCTGAGGCACCCAGAGGGGACCAGAACTGGGGTTGGGCCTCCACATCAGCCCCTCCTGGCTCCACTGTCCAGCCAGCCGGCCTGGCCTCCCCGGGTAACCCCTCCGTCCACAGGCGGGCAGGGTGCAGCCTACCTTCCTCTGACCCCATCCTATTGCAGACAGCCCAGGGCAAGCCAGGAAGGAGGGCTCCTGCCCACAGAAGATGGGGTCGCTCGGGGGGCCCCTCACCTCTCTCCTGGCCTCTTCCCCACAGGGTGGGTTCCCCAGGCGCTGCCCGGGAACCAGCATGGAGGGTGTTGCTGTAACAATGGCACTGAGAGAAGAAATGAGTCAGGGGGTCCTCGAAACCTCGCCGCCCCTCCTCCCTGCCGCCCAGGGCCTCGGGTCCGGGATGGGCCGGCTCGGGCCC